TCCGATCCGTGATCCGATCCGTGATCCGATCCGTGATCCGGTCCGTGATCCGATCCGTGATCCGGTCCGGTCCGATCCAGGTTTTGTCGACGCCGCAATTCATAGCTCTTTATTCCTTTATGTAGCCATTGCTGCGTTTAATTTACTTTTTCAACCCCGTTATTCTCTGAACATTGAAAACAAATGAACGAAATTCAAAGACTTACCTTTCCTGGTCCAAAAGACAATGAAAATTTCACCAGAGCCGCCGTAATGAAGCCAAATGAAGAAAAATGTCTACTTTCCTCACAGCCGACTTCGTAGACCTTTAGTCTCTCTCTGATTGACCAGAAAAATGAGGGAAGCCGCTGGCAGCCGCGTTTTTCCCGCTGTTTTGAGCTGTTTTCTTGTGTCACCTCCAGGTCAAGTGAAAACTTTTTTACTAAAAAAATACACATTGGCAAGAAAGAAGAAAGCAAGCTTTCATTTAATCGTTAAAGCAGAAAAAAAAAACGAAAACGCAGGCTATTAGGGCGTTAAAAGAGGAGTCGCATGATATGGCCATATTTGACCTCGTCTTTGACATGACATGACGTAGGATCAAAGTTGTACAAAGCCATGGCGCCTTTGAACGCCTTTGACATAAGAGATCAAAGGTATGCAAAGCCGTGGTGTCTTTGAACGCCTTTGACATAAGAGATCCAAGGTATGCAAAGCCGTGGTGTCTTTGAACGCCTTTGACATAAGAGATCAAAGGTATGCAAAGCCGTGGTGTCTTTGAACGCCTTTAATGCGAGTCAAAACTTTAGTCAAAGTTATTGACATGTTTGACCTCGCCTTTGACAGGGATCAAATGTATAGCAAATCCATAAGATATTTGATTCCTCCTTTGACGTGGGTCATAGGTGGAGTCAAAGTTAAGATCACATTTGCCCTCGTCTGTCATGGATCAAACGTATCGGCAAAGCCATTACGTTTTTGACACACGTTTGACGCACGTCAAAGTTTGGATCAAAGCTATGATCATATTTGACCTCGACTTTGATCACGATCAAATTTAGAGTAAATCCAATTTTTCGTGCCGTGATAGGACTCCACGTGCGAATTTTTATTTTAGCTTGCCATTTATGTATGCAAATTAGGACTATTTAAACGCTACGGTTTCCTAGCGCGCCAATCCTTTCAACGTTTTCTATAGTTTCAAGTTAATATTGTTGCGGAATCTATACTCTACCTAGCTTCACCGTCATCGCTACAGTCAGGAAACATTTGTAAGTCTTTATATTCTATCCTGTATTTTTCTTATCGCTTGGCTCTTCACATGTATTTTTATTTATTTTTCTAGTCGAACCTCGCTCGATCTTTCAATACTCAACGGGCTCCTTGAGTCTCTTCAACAGAGCGTGAGTTCGAAATCTCTAGGCGTAGCGTCAGCAAGAACTGTAAGCTACACTTCCCTTAACAACAGAAGATTGCCATCACAAATGAAGCAAATGAATAAAGAAATGAAATAATATAAGATTTTAACCGACAGAATATACTAGCACAAGCTCAGTGTGCTTTCATTTTGGTACTCACAGGGAAGAAACCAAATTCAGCAGATATTTTAGATGATATTTCAGATGTTTCTTCAAAAACAATAATTCTTTGCAGGCTTAAAATCATAGGAATATACTTCTCCCATCGCTTCGGCGGGTTTGGTACTTAGGTGGAAGCCACCTTTCTGAGCGATTGTAAACAGCTTCATCTAACAGTCACGGTAAGTCTACCTCCTGTACGTTTCTTTTAAGTGCCAGCGGTTTTCCAGTTATATTTAAATTTCAATCTACAACCTGCAACCTGCAACCTGCAACCTGCAAAATATACCTGCTCCATCACATGGAGAAGCTTTGTATCACACCCAAGGATGTAGTTGCCATTGAGAAAGATATCAAGCAACTTTGGTCGCTTCTGGAAGCCACGCTGGAAATTATGGACGAACTGTGTATTGTTTATTTGCAAAAAGGAGAAGAAAAGAACCAACAGGCGGCGATGGAAGAAGTACAATCGCTCGAATCGGAAATTCAGGCCGCAATCGAAGAAGCCCACGAGGCCGTAAAATCCCAAGCTCAAATTTCTGCCGGGACTTCTAAATTCACCGATCGTTTCGCAGAATCCGCCCAATCCGACTTCGTCTCCACCGCCTCCTCAAAGCAATCATAGCGATCAAGTAGAGGCAGGAATTTCACAGAGCTCGCCAATCGGCTTGCCAACCGGTTCCCCCGCAAATCATCGCCTGAAGTCATTAAAAGTACCGTCGTATGGTAGAGACAAGACGAAATTTGGAGAGTTTTGATGGATTCTTGAAAGTCTGGTGGACCAATCTAAAGAGCCAATAAATCTTAGAATAGCGAGGTTAGAGCAATGCTTGTTTTTCAGCGCACTGGAGTCCATCCGAGGGCTTGGAGTTTCTGAACCATAATACGAAGAGGCCAAAGAAATCTTGATAGCCAAGTTCGGCGCTCAGCGGCGGCAACTGCGGGTCTACATGGATCAGCTGGAGAAAATGCCCCAACTGAGGAATAATGACGTTCAAGGATTTGAAAAATTTGCAGATTTGGTCAAAATAAATGTGGTTAAACTTAAGGCTGAGGAACGCAATGGAGAACTAGGCGAAGGAACGTTACATAGTTTATTAGAGAAGAAACTCGTAGAAGCTCGAGTGCAAGGGTACAGCCGTTGGCTACAGGAACAGGGCCAGGAACGATCTGTGCTAAGCTTAAAGGATTGCTCAAGGAGGAGGTACGATTTCGAGTTGAAGCAATGGAGATAACTCATGGCTTGACTGTAACAGAGAAAGCAGATGGATGGCAACCTTGAAACAAGAATTCCAATCGGCGCAAGTCCCGAAATTTTCGCGTAGGATCAGAATGGTTTAACCCGAACCCGGAGACCGCCTGGCTCAGGCCAGTTAAATCGCAAGCCACCGTGTGTGTGTTGCGGCTCCCTGCATAGTGGAGTATGGGCATGCACAGTATTCCTGCAAAAGAGTTATGATGATCGGTGGAAGCTGGCGAAGGATAAACGGTTCTGCTTCCGGTGTTTGGCTGGTAATGGCCAGGGAAAAAACTGAATGAAGTCGCAAACATGCCAAATTGATGGTTGCCGGGGAAATAATTACCGTCTTATGCATGAAACCTTGCCCGTCGTAGACCAACCAACCGGCGAAGAGTGCACAGTCAGTTGTAGAAAGTAACAGTTATCCCTCACTTAGTGCACGGGAAGGGGCAGTCAGTTTTGCACCATCACCCGAGGGAGAGTACAGTTCCGTCTCACGAGCTACGACAACTCACAGCCCAAGACGCTTAAATGAAGCCTATACATTGCGTACCACTCTAGTGTGGGTAGAGGCACAAGGAAAAAAGGTTGAAGTAAATGCAACCCTAGACGATGCCTCGAACGAGTCATTCTTGAATAAAGAAGTAGCTAGAGCTCTTGGGCTTAAGGAGTGCTATCAAACCGTGAAAGTCCATGTGCTGAACAACTCCGTAGAGACATTTCAAACCATGCCGTTGAAGATAGAGATCAAAAGTGTTAATGGCCAGTTTACAAAGAAGAACGAAGTTGTCCCCGCAGTGTAACCGGAAACTACCAAGTTGAAAATTGGAGAGCAAGCAGAGACAAGTGGCCTCACCTTGCGAGTGTGATTTTGCATCACCAGCGAAGGATGGCTTGGTGGACTTGTTGATAGGTGTTGATAATGCCGACTTGCATTATTCTTTTGTTGATATCCGTGGAAAGGGAGGTGAACAGGTGGCTCGTTTGGGTCCGCTAGGATGGACTTGCATTGGACCTCCAGATGGTAAAGTGGGTTCTGGAATAAGAACACACACCATCCGAACACTGTTTACCAGGGAGGGTGGGCCGATTAGCGAAACCGGAGGTTGTTGTGAATTGGATCAAACCCTTAAGCGTTTTTGGGAGATTGAGAGTTACGGGACTGAACTTTGTGATCGAATTGTCTGCACTGAAGAGGAGAAAGTGGCCTTGGAAAAAGTGAGCAGCTCTCTTCGTTATAACAATGGGAGATACAGTGTTGCCGTGCCATGGAAAGAACGGAGGCCTCAGGTACCCAACAATCGGCAAATGGCAGAATCCCGTCTTCTCAGCACCGAGAGAAATCTGAAGAAGAAAGAGTTTGTTGAAAAGGAGCATCAGAAGGCTATTGAAACGTATGTAAAGAAAGGGTACCTTCCTGAAGTCTCAGAAACCGAAGCACCACCCCCTAGAATTTGGTACCTACCGCACCTCCCGATTGTTAAGATGAGCAAGTCCTCAACCAAAGTGAGGATTGTCGTTGATTGTTCTGCATGGTGCAATGGAATCATGTCATTGATGCTGGGCCAAATCTTCAGAGAGAGTTGTTTGATGTTCTAATCCGTTTCCACCGCAACCCGGTAGCCCTTGTGTGCGACATCCAAGAGATGTATCTCCAGATACAAATTGAAGCCGAAGATCGACCGTTTTTCCGAATTCTGAGGTGAGATGGAGAAACCGACCGCGATCCAGACGTGTACGATTGTTGAAGCTAACACACAAAGTCGAACACAATGGCTTACTTGGCTGTCATAGACGGTTGCAATACGCCGAGTATCTTCCCTATGATGTCATTTTCCAGTCATCTTGCCTAGAGGGAACTGGACGACTAAAGTGATCGTAAAGCACTTTCACGAAGCTGGACACCATACCACCGGGACAAATCACACGCTCGCAAAGGTCTCGACCAAGTGCTGGATAGTAGCAGCTCGAGAAGACACCCGAGACTGGGAAAAGGCATGCGATGAGTGCAGGAGACGTAAGTTGAAAGCCGCTGAGCAAAACATGGCGCCACCACTGGATGTAAGAGTGCATCCACTTGGAGCATTCGCCCACGTTTCAGTCGATTATGGAGGCCCGTTCATTACTGTCCAAGGTCGTGGACAAAAGCGTTGGCCGTATCTGTTTACGTGCCTATCAGGTCGGGCAGTACACTTGGAAATGGCTTATGGTCTGGACACCGACAGCTTCTTGAGGTGTTTCCTCCGAATGACCCGTCGCAGGGGATATCCGTTAACGATCGTGAGCAGTCGTGGAAACAACTTCATTTGCGCAGAGAGAGAGCTTCGGGAGATAACAGACGACTTAGATCACACTCAAATCCAAGATCAAACGGCCAGTAAAGGAATGAAATGGTCTATCAATCCTCTGTTGGCGCCCCGTTTTGGAGGAGTTGATGAAATCATGATTAAAGCAGCGAAAAAGGCTATAAGTGCAGTGCTCGGCAATGCAGATGTTAATGACGCAGAACTAATGACGGCCTTTGTTGGAGTAGAAGACTTGTTGAATTCCCGTCCTCTTACGCATCAGTCAGCCGACCCGAACGATGCTACTTCACTCACCCCTAATCATTCTCACCATGGCCAGATGGGAGATGTCTCAGCTCCGGAGTCTGTTGACGAAGTTACGTTCAGCCCAAGAAATAGATGAAGACGAGTTCAAGTGTTAATCTCGTACTTTTGGAAGAGATAGATGAGGGAGTGGCTACCGTTATTAAATCCACGTCAGAAGCGGACCGAAGCGAAGCCGAATTTAAAGATTGATGATGTTGTGCTTGTCATATCTCCTGATTGTCCCAGGGCACAGTGGCCTTTGGGACGAGTTCTGGAAGTATTTCAGGACAAGACGGTCACGTTCGAGTTACCAAGATTCAAATTGGTCAAAACACTGTTATGAGGCCTGTTTCTAAATGCGTTTTACTGGAGTCCAACTAGGACACAGACCTTGTGTCGTGAAGAGTTTGACTGAGTTAAAGGACCTCAAAGGGGGGAGAATGTTCGGAAGACATTGGTTAAGGATAAACGCTTGACCATTGTGTGCGGAAGACATTGTTTACGTCTGGGAAGATTAATAATTTCGTGAGGCATTTCGTGAGAATTTTGTATTTAGCATAATTATTCATGGGCTCGTGTGATCGAGCGAACAGTGTGAACAGTGTCGAGCTCTATTCGTGTGGTAAGCTAGTATCCGAGCTGTATGTTGAAATAAGAGTATTCGACAGTTATTTCTTGCTCTTGGTTGCCGTTCCTTCCGACCACCCGACGTTTCATAATACCCCATTTCTGAGTTGGCTTTTGCCTCTGTGTCAAAACCAGTTTTCGTACAAAACCATCCTTATGAAACTGTGTTCCGCCTAGAGATTCATTTTCACATACCGTAAATCCTCAAATTAGCGCCCGGGGCGTTTAATTTAGGGGGGCACTTATTTAATCTTTCCCAAATCGTGGCCTAACGTGGTAATTTTTTTTAATACATCGTCTGCGTGTAAACAGCAACATAAGCTGTTAATCGACATGAAAAGCTCATCCTAAAGTTTAAATCGCGGCACTGTTAGTACTTAACGCGTTCATCGTGTTCACTTGACGTGTTCACAAACTGAAACAATGTACAAATCTAATACTACACGACGAAAACTATACATCCTTTGTTGTCTCATTACTCGTCCACAAAATGGGGGAGGGGGAGGGGAGGGGGGACGCTTATTTAAAATTTCGGCCGACAGGAGGGGCGCTTACTCGAAGGGGACGCTTATTCGAGGGGAGGCGCTAATTCGAGGATTTACGGTAAATCAAACTCATTTCCATTTTGCACGCGGACTTGTTTTGAAACAAAGGCACATGGTATCTCGAAAATGGCCTTTTTACGACAACTCAGTTCAATCGTATAGAGCGTTTTCACATGACGTCACGGAAGCCATATCTGGTGCTCCAAAACAATGAAACGGCGGCCATGTTTGTGTGAATAGTATTGAAGAAACTGCGTAGCGTCTTTTAAACTACAAGTAAATGTTGAAAATATCGTTAAAAAAGACGCTTAATGGCGGTATAAATCAACCGACGTTTCGGCATTACTGCCTTCTTCAGGGTGTTTAAGCCAAACCAACCCTGAAGGAGTTGAACTCTTTTCTTATGTAAACACTTTCTTTTGTTCCAAAAAATTTCCGTGGCTGCTAACCAGACCAGCTAGTTAATACACTCGATACGGTAAACATTGACCGGGACAAAAGAGTAACAAAGTTGTTATTCACAAAACTTATTATGGTAATTGAACTGAGTGGAGTGCAATTTGTTTAGGTAATCAAATGGGTGCAACTGGGAATGAGTAAGCACAAGTGAATTTTTCAAAGACTGAATAAAATTGCAAGAGCTAATAAGACAAGTGAGCGCGATTTGAGGTCTTTGAGAAATCTACGAGTGCTTAGGCGAAGCGTTTATCACTACAAATTTTTAAAATATTTCGATCTGTAACAATCTGATGAAACGTTTACTAATATGTAGTGAGTAATAGTTTGATTTGTAAATTACCGAATTTGTCATGACCAAAACGTTTACCTATATTACAGTCTTTTAATGGTTAATATTTCGATTCTTTACACGTATATCAACACTTACAGAGATAACAATAATAAAGTATTGTTGTTGTTATCATTATCATTATTATTATCATTATCATTATCATTGTTATTATTACTATTGTTGTTGTTGTTGTTGGTATTACTATTATTATTATTATTATTATTATTATTATTATTACGGTAAGACAGAGAAAATGACTCCATTGTGATGAGCTGGGAGCAGGCAAATTTATCAAATATTTCTAATTTGCACTGCAGTGCAAATTAATACAGGCGTGTTCGTAATTTTAGTTTTCATTCATATAGCAAATGAGAAATCGTCAGAAATCTAGCAATTTAAGGATTTCCGCGGTGTGACTGAATAATGTTAGCCCTTTCTAGATGTACGCTCTTCTTCTGTGGTATCGTGTTAACTTACGAGTGTCTGTATGGGAACAATGTTTAATCATCAGTAAAAATCTGTTTTTTGATTATTTCGTATTGTTTCTGCTTATTTTGCAAATTTTCAGAAGTTCTTGAAAGAAAAGTCTTTGTACGTCCTTGCATACGGTGGGAAAAACTGTCCTATCCTGACAAAGTCCTGAAATCAATGTACGTTAACAGGAAAGGCACTGAATTCGGACAACTTTTCTCTCTGGAGACGGCATTGAATATTCACGAAAAGGAATTTATAATGCCAAAAACCGTATCAGATTGTAGAAAGTGGAAAATATGAAGCATTTTTTGTCTCCAACGGTTTTAATTTGGCCAAAAATTAAATGTGTCGCCCGTGTCCGGCAACTCGCTCGTCACTCGTCACTCGTCACTCGTCACTCGTCACTCGTCACTCGTCACTCGTCACTCGTCACTCGTCACTCGTCACTCGTCACTCGTCACTCGTCACTCGTCACTCGTCACTCGTCACTCGTCACTCGTCACTCGTCACTTGGAACAGGAACATTTTAAGACTCAGCCTCTAGGTTATTCAACAGTCTGCCAGATAACATCAAGGCCGAACTCGGATTACAGTCAAACCTGTATATAACGGCCCAGTATATAGCGGTCACCCTGTGTGTAACGGTCACTGAGCAACTTCCCAAAAATCGTCCCTGATATTTACTGTTAAGTTGACCAGCATATAACGGTCACCTGTATGTAACGGACGCGGTCACCCTTTAGACTTTGAGTCCACAATTTCATTATCTTTTACCTGTATATAACGGTCACGAAATTGTGTTACGATTAACGAATAATGACAAGCTTCATTCATCAGCTCGTTAAATAGCAGCCACCAGGGCAGGGGTCTCACAATAATTCAAGTATTAGTACAACTACTAATACATGTCATCGCCTACGTCCAACACACGCTTGCGGCAGATAACATTAAAGTGCCGTCGTTTTCAAACAATAGTTACAGTAACTGTAACAACACAACCGTAACCACACTGTTTTCACTTCCGTCATAGTTACCTGATTATAACATTGTACTGTACTTATCTGTTTCAAATTGTTGTCAATAAATGTAAATTGAGTGATTTTCCACTTAAAACGTTGTTCATTAGCTTTCAGTGGACTTTTACTGCACCTCCCTAAAAGTACACCACAGACATTTTATGGGCCCTTTTTATCTTGTTTATTACGTTACTGTTACTCGTTATTGTCAATAAAACGTAAATTGAGTGATTATTTGCACATAAAAATGCTATTTATTGACTTCCAGGGGAGTTTAAAGGAAAAGTGTGTACAGCGGTCACCCTCTATATAACGATCAACTGGCCATTTCCTAAGGGTGACCGTTATATACAGGTTTGACTGTAGATTGTTTTGAATCTGCATAATAAATTTTTTACATATTCGTGTTTTCCACATGGTTTTTTACTTGTAAATTATACTGATATATCTGTATGTATTTTTAATTTTTAGTTAGCATATGATGAATGGAGAACTCACGTACTCATTCATCCGCTTCGCTCCTTCGTTAGTGGAGCATAAGGCCACGCAACAACAAGTACCATCCATCACGGACTTGAGCTTCTCGCTCAACCCCATTCTATCTTATCCATCCCAGATCTTTCCGTTTGGCTTCAATGGTTCTCCTCCGAGTGATCTTTTGTCTGCCGGGCCTTCTCTTGCCTTCAGGGTTCCGGGTGAGCTCAACTCTGCAGTTGTTATCTTTCTCTCCCCCCAAAACGTGACCGGTCCATCTCCATCGTCTGACCTTCAAAGTTTCTGAGATGGGACCCTCTCTGGCTCTTTCATAGAGTTCACGGTTGGAGATGATGTACGGCCAAAATATGCCAAGGATTCTTCTCAGGCATTTTCGATGGAAGACATCCAGGCGCTCCATGTGAGTTGATGTAACCCTCCACATATCAGCGCCATACAGGAGAATAGAGATCACGCAGCTCTTGATGCTTCTCAGCTGGGTGTGCTTGCTCTATCTCTTCAGTAGACCTCCAAACAGGATTTAGAGTGGCATATGCTCTTCTTGCGATTGACAGCCTGCGCGAGATGTCTTCATGTGACCAGCCGGCTCCATGGACTGTGGCACCTAGGTAGATGAAGGTGTTGACGTCTTCAACTTCTAAGCCATCAATGGAAATCGTGTCGGTGACCTTGGCGTTTGTTCGTAGCACCTTTGTCTTGGTGGTGTTGATACAGAGTCCGGTATACCTTGAGACCTGATGGAGGCGGCTGAACTTCTCTTGAAGATCTTTGTGCCAGCTGGAGAGCAGGGCTATGTCATCTGCATAGTCTAGGTCCTCTAGGACCGTGGTGAACTTCCACCTCAGGCCTCTCCTTACATTGGTGGTGTTCCTCATTACCCAGTCGATAATGATGTTGAAGAGAAAACCTGGCATAACATAGCCCTGCTTGACTCCTGTCTCTACAGGAAACCAATCTGATGTACGTCCGTTTTCAACAACGCAACAGGTGCTTCCATCATAAAGCTCTTGTATGATGTCGACGAAGTTGTCAGGAATTCCATAATGTCTGAGAATGTTCCAGAGCTTGTCTCTTCTCACACTATCAAAGGCCTTCTTGAAATCGATGAAAGCAATGTACAAGGGTGTTTGCCATTCAGCACTCTGTTCTA